ACATTGAAAAAAACCGATTTAAAACATGTCGTGATTTGTGGCAGGAAAGGCGAATATATTTTTTACCGATGCTTACGCGAGTTGGATCGGAATATTTGAAGTATAAATTTTCGGTATTGCCTCATTAACGATGCGATTCCGAGGCAAAATAAGATCTCTTAAGATACGGGCAGGAGTTTGCAGAAGCAACAAGAGTGCGAGAGGCATCGTCGAGAGGGAGAACACGAGTTTCATTTGAATAGAATAGGTCGATAGTGATTTACGATACTCGAATGCCGTACACACTCGTGACCGTTTTCCATTTCTCCTCGCTGCTCTTTACCGCCCCAGTCTGCCTCTTTATGAGCGTCGTACACACGTCGATATCAGAAAATTCAGGTACGCTCGGCTGCATGGCGACGCGAACACACTTACGGCCTACGATTTGCGGTGGGAATGGAACAAACATGTACGATCGACAGTTACGACGGACGGCTAATTGAAAAGAACACGGTATATGAAAGTCTGGCGTCGATCCTTTTTCCGCAACGCCGTTTATAAATAACCAGCTGTAAATAACAGCATGTAATATAGCTCTTAGAGACGCTGGATTTAGATAGGAATAGAGCGTAAAAATTACGGTGGAGTTTCGAAGGAGATTACAACAGCTCAGCGGTTGCAATTCTAATACGTGGCGTTGTTCACTGATAATCACGGTCCTTTTCCTTTTTTCTTTTGATGGAAATCAATTCGCATGGTGCGAATGCTTACGACATGTAATGAGGGCGGTCAGGAAAATTACGATTTCTAATCTTTGCACTGTCCCGCGTAATGCGCAGGGCACAATACACGCCAGACTTCTCGACGTCGAAGAATGAAACTTCGTCGTGCGAAGCTATGCGTGAACCAGCGCGGCGCGCATTCGCGTGCAACGGTATCTCTTGCGCGACGCGGCCGTTTGACTTTGACGAGCCTCATTCACTTGGAAACGTCGAGTGCGCATAGCGGAAAGAAGTGTTTCACGTAAAAGTAGTAGAGTCGAGGGAACATTTAGTGATAATACTTTTGCGACGCTGTCTTTGTTAAAAAATGACAATGGTCATTAAATGAGTATTGGTAGAAAGAAAGGAAATTACACCGGCTATTATAGAGTATAATACGCACGCACAATTATTAGCAAAAGCAGGAGCATATCGTTCGTAAATGCCGAAGTGAACAGATAGAATGGAAAAACTATTTGTATTATTCATTTATGTTAAATATTGATGTTAAATGTCTATTCCAATCCTTTATATTTCCCATATTATGTTTGTGGTAATGACTACTATTTCTTTAAACAGTTGTAAAAAGTCATCAGTTTCAAAGCGAATGGTTTCTATAACGGAACATATTCAGTCTCATTGCTTCGAGTTATACGTTTCGTATAAAATTAAATTGCTGATTACATAATCCGTGTGCAAAATGAGCAAATGCCATTTTCTCTGAGAACGTATCTTCATAATCGAAAGTTTATGTAAAAATTAGTGAAGTTAAAGCCACAGGTGCAAATAATCATCAAGAAAATAATGTTGTGACTAAAAATTCATAAATTATTCATTTCACCATAGGAAAAATTATTATTTACTTTTATTTATAGTATTTTCATGAAATTTAAGTTTCATGTAATTTCTTTTTGCAATTTCTTCTCACAACTCGCTTTTGGCGAAAAATTAGTATAAATCTTAAGAATGTAAAACAATCAGCGCCAATTGCGATATTTTATTACATTGTTTTCTCGGACATGTCCGAGGACTTCAAAAAAACATTGATCGACAGCAACATAAATGGCGCAATCGCGGCGAGAAAACGACAACAACACGCGTATCCTATCTGGCGCGAATACACGGAGGCGGGTTCTCAGAACGGGAGGCCATTACCGATACACGACCGCGTACTGATATCTCAATACGTGCCCTTAGCTCGAATCCATTATAATGCCTCGGTGTATACCGCGAGGACAATCGTCGTCGTCGTCGCGGTCGTGTAGAGAGAGCTGTTCGGTATTACTCCGCGAGAATGGCCATCCGGCCAGGCACGTTCCTGGAACGCCTTCTGGAGCCCTTTCGCCATGAAATCTCGCTTTTGCGCGACTCGCCCGACGAAGAATTCGCCCCCGCACTGTCACGAAATTCACGCACACTCAATTAGAAGAAATTGACTGTAATAGATAACTTCATTAACAGAATGACGCTTTAGTGTCGCGATTTTTGATTAAAGAAGGATGACAGTAAAAACAGAAATATAAATCATATTTTTTTATAAATTTAAAATAATTCTATACCAAAATAAAGCTCGATGAATCGCTCGCGAATCACAATTGCACGAGTCGCATTTACATCTCAACGATAAGGGTGACGCAAATTTCCCGAAAGAATGCCGCATTCGTGTATATATCACATCGTATTTGCGACAGAGCAGGCTTGTCGATTTTGCGGACGTCGATACTGCCAAGTTACGATATAGTATCTCGTAGAGTATAGTCGATGGGGACGTATTTTTCTGGATGCGCATTTTTATGGATGTCTATGCGCGCCGTAAACATGGCAATGTTATGTCTTCAGCAACAAGTATCGACATGGCTCTTTTCGCGATTTGTTCGCCCCCACATCACTCATATGTTTTGTGCTACGTATCGTAGTATCGACGGAGAATGCTTTTGTTGTATGGTTTACTAAAACAAAACAGTATTGTTTTACTTTTCAAAAAAATTGTCGTATATATTAAACCTTTCAAAAAAACCTGTCGTATATATTAAAATTTTCAAAAAAAGCTATCCTATATATTTCTTACAAAAAAATATGATATCAGGAAATGGGACCACCAAGTGGGACTAAAGAACTATGAAAAAACTTGTACACTATTTCTATGAAACTCTTCTATAAAACTCTTGTACATAAAGCTGTCGTATATATAATTAATTATATTATATACTATATTTTATCATATTTTACATATACTATACTATATATACTATATATATTATAAAAAAATTAAAAAATATTTAAAAAATCAAAATATGTATTAAAAAACGCAAAAAAACTTGGCGCTGCTACACCTCAAAGTAATGAAATTAACATGTAGTTTACTGTAGCAGCGCCAACATTTTCTTACACTTAATACTCTGCCCACATTGTGATGTGGATAATTTTGTTATCAACCATAGCGTTAATTACAGAAGGCGACTTATGCTATATTTTTTTAAATATAAAATTGACTGAGAATTATAAATATTGTTGAAACTAATCTAGGATACTCAGAACAGAAATATTAAACTTTGAGCTATTTAATTTTATTTATTTTAGACAAATCATCCACTAAAGTCTCGAATCATGTATGAATAAGCAAGATAAAAATTATAATTTTTTGCTTCTTACTATAAAAGGACAATCTCGTTGATCAATCAAAACTTGATAAAACATATGTGGCCTGCCTTTCACTTCTTTCTCACCAACATTGTTGAAATATATGTGTTATCCTCTCTATATAAAAGATAAAGATTATCTATATAACATCCATGTAAAAGCAAAAAAAAATAGATATAGTTATTCATACAATTACGCATACCCATCTTTTTTATTGAATAGAGCTCTGTCATATATACTTTAGCCAACCAAGGAAATAAAATCACACCTCGATAACCAAAAACTCTGTGTAAAATCAACACATATACCGGGTGTTTCAGACCATCCGTCCCACCCTTTTAAAACGTAGAGATGTACAAAAAAATGGCTCAGACGAAATTTGCATGATTTCGAGGGATCTATCTGATGGTGACCTTGAATTCGACCTTGAAGTCAATTTTCAAGGTTATTTGAAGGTCAGAGTTATTTTTTTAATGGAAACCCCTATTTTTGATTCCAAAATCTAATAGCTGGTGTCAAGAGCTTTTCAAAACACTATAATGAAGTTATTTTTCATTAAGTACTTTTCGAGTTATGAGGCTTGTAAATTACAGTATTTTGACATAAAATACAAAATATCTTGTAAAACATTCAATTTTTCGGAAGCTTACCTTAATACTTTTATGCATAAAATAATGAGACGAATCAATTGGTATAAAGAAAACACATTGTAATTAGAGGTTTCCTACTTTGAAATAAAAGATTAATTTTATTAATAATTTTTAAAATAAAGGAAAGAAAACTATAATAAATTTTATAAATAGGATTTCTCAGAGCATTGAGAATTGTCTTTGCTGATTGTAAGTTGTCCTCAAGAGCACGGGTAAAAAATAATTCTATTGCAGTCCATTGTTCTAAAATCTGATTAACAACAGCTTCAATTGATAGCCATCTAGTTTGGCTGACTTTTAAAATTTTGTGTGGCTTTAAATGTAAAAATGTTTGAAGTTCAACAAATTCATTCAAACGCTTTGAACTATTTTTAAAATAGCTGTAAATATCCCTTGCTAAATCTTCCATAGCTGATGGTAACTTTAGGCAGGCAGCTGATGAACATAAGTGCATAGAATGACAGACACATCCTAATACAAATAAATTAGGAATTTTTTGAATCGGGCTTGTACTCCATTGGAATCGCCATCATGACAGCACAATTGTCTGCAAGACAAATACCTATAACATAAATTTATTTAATAAACACATATACACACACATACAAATACTTATTTATACCTACCAATCATATTTTTAAAAGGTATTCCATTTGTTTCAAGGAAAAACGCTATGGAATTATAAAGATCTTCTGCTGTGCAAGATTTCACTTCCAATAAAGTTAAAAACCTATTCCTGATAATTAATTTTATCGTATCAAAATATCGAACAACTATAGCTAAACTTTTTATAACAAAAATGTCAGTTGTCTCATCAATTATTAGTGAAAACTTCGTTGTTTTTAAAATGTTACATATTTCCATCATGCTACAAGGTGCTACATGTTCTTTTAAAATATGTGTGCCCTTTGTTCTGCTACATTTAATTTCTTTAGCAATGTTTGAGTCAGGGCTAACACTTTGAATCAACTTTGGCAAATGCTGTAGTATCCTAACTGGTAAATTATGCTCACTAAGAAACATACATAGTTTCAGTTCAGCTACTCGTACTGTTGTATTTCTCGAATATAATATTTTCAAATCTGTCATTGATACTTTAGATAGATATATTTCTTGTTTTTTGTGCATGTTACTTTGTGCATGTCTTTCTAAGTGTGTTATTCCACCCATTAAAGTTTTATTGCACAGAGTGCAGTAAGAACTTCCTTTTATGTTTTCAAGCCAAGTCCACTTCTGCTTCCATTCAATTTTAAACTTTTGGGTATATTTCTTTTTCTTTGGTTTTGTTATATTTTCTTCTACCATCTCAACATCACTTTCACTTTCGCTACTGTCCTTGTTATTATATTGTATAATTGTGTCAAGTGGAAGACTGCAATCATTACCAACAGCATTAGTTTTGGTATTGGTTTCTTCAGATTTTTTTTCCACTGCTTCTTGATGCTTTTTTATAACAAACCTGAAATAAGCAATTTTATTTTTATTTTGTAATTAAATAAATAAAAATTCAAATTAAAAATTATATAAATTATAATATATATATAAAACTATATATAAAACCCAAGTGCAACTGCAATTGGCTTATGGGGCAGTATTAAAATAAAAATGTTTACAAGAATAAAACATAAATATATTTAAAAAATTACTTACTTATCCATTATCGCATATGGGCAGAAAGATCTTAGTGTTTCTCGTTTATGCCTTGACAATTCATATATTAAGGTTTTTTTCTGTTTTTGAGCATACATTTATTTTCACTTTTCACTTCATAACTTACTATCATAGATGTTGTAGAAGATAGACCATAGATCATGGCTCTTGCACATAGAACGATAACGCTTACCGCACTGCAAAAGACGACGCGATAGCCAATCAATTTATTTTTCCATAAGAGCGAAAAATTGATTGGTTACCGTGTCGCCCTTATTGCGTCCTGTATGCAGGAGCCATCGGTGTTTCATATTAACTGCCAAGTGAAACACATGTAACAAATTGTAACAAATTCTTGAAAATGTAATAGATATAAGGTGTTCTGTAATGACGTACTAAAATAGGTTAAAATGTAATAAAAAAATACAATTGTAATAGAAACGGCAACACTGTCTGCAACCCTGCAAGAAGCCATCGAAGGGGCCAAAGCAGAGGAAAAATTAAAGAGACCACGTGATTCCGCGTACAACGCGAATAAAAGTTTTAATAATTCTAAGGCAATTCAATGCCATAAATGCGGCAAGCAAGGACATTACGGTCGCGATTGCCGAACGAGCCGCTACGGTAATCAATTCACTTTGCCTAAACCGAGCGGATCAAGATTTAATACGCTGGATAAACATTGTAATTATTGCAAGAAATCCGGACATAACCGTACCGAATGTTGGATATTAAACGGAAAACCGGAATATACTAAAAA